GAGACAAACTCTTGCTTTCATGTAGCTTTTTCGACCTTTGATGTATTATACTGAAGTTGTTTCAGAATATTGTCATGTATGAAATGTTGTCATGTTCCAATCTATGTGCATGTCTGGCCCAATCCTAAGATCTTCTTTAATTCCATTTCAGTTTGAGTTTGTGTCGTGGTAGGATCTTTCTTGATTCTTTCAGTGCTGTGGGCATCCGCAGTTTCCATCTTGTTACTCTGAGCTTCTAAACAAAGAGTGGTTTGGTGGTACTACAATGCTTTGTGCTCCTATGCAGAACTACCTGACTTCTGTAGCTTATTCCAAACTTCAAAATTGCCAATTAGTTTAAGTTCATAACTATTATAATTCTCTCTATGTATGACACTGCTGTCAAAAGTCTTTGTTTTATGAACTTGTTGTCAGCTATATATATATATATATATATATATATATTCTGTGAAATTCTATGACAGTGAAAATGGAAAGAGACTGAAGAGCTATACTGATACACTTATTCTCAGACAGCAACATCAGTAGGAAAGTGTTTGCTTGGGTAGTAGAAGGTGACAGAAGAAGAGTGCAAGGAGAGAGAGAGAGAGAGAGAGAGAGGGTGCAGGAACAGTACAAATGAATTGGAAAGAGAAAGGAGATAAAAGAAGAAGAGGAATTAGACCATGATGCAAGTTTGGTATTCTATTCTCTGGTGATTGCTTGAGATGGGTTTGGAGGGCTTCTCCAAGATGGAACTCTTATGGGACACTCAAAAGACATAAAACCTATTTCATAATATTAAACCAATACCATTTATTAGTAGTAGCTTTCTATCATCCTGTGCCATTATAACCCTCTGTTGTGTCTCTGTCAGGATATTTCACATGTATACCTCTTCCTCGAGTTACAATCCATATCAACTTAATATAGTTTTTTAGGAATATTAATGTCAATCTTAATTTTCAAGCTTTTTAGTTTTTCAAGAATATATATATATATATATATATATATATATATATCTTAAATTTAAAGGAAAAAATATAATAATAAATTAATTTTGGACACACATATAAATATTTCATTTATCCCAATACAATTTTACGAGCTAATTACATATTATCTCTATCATAATAATCCTATTTGTTCTAATGTCATTAGATATATTAATAAAAAACATAATATATGACACTACATGTTGGATCGACACAAAGGTGATGAACAAAAAATAATAATAATTTTAATATTCCTTTTCATTTCCAGTGACTTTACTAGCAAAAGGATAATTTTAATATTTCACATGTTAAAAATTAAAAAAAGATATTAAAATTATCTTTTTGTTTATTACTTTCTTATCGATGTATCACATGTTATATTTTTCATTAACGTAGTTCCCGATGTTAAGATAAATATGATTATTTATTTTATTTTTAAAATTACAGAGATCTCAATATAAATTTTTAAAATATAAAAATTACAATGCTAATAGAATATAAATATAAATTGGCAGATAATACTTTACACCTACCAACATGATGGATATATATATATAAATATATATTTTAGGTTCTTACTTTTCTTAATATTCTATCTATCGCCCCATATTAATAGGATCCAATCCCTTAATTCTCCCGTAAGCATCTGCGCGATCCGGCTCTACGCCTCTCCCAATTCGGAACCCTAGTCGGAAGAAGTGGTGCTTCCCGTCGATCACCGCCGGAAAATGTACGATTCCGCTGAATTCTAAGCGGTACGTCGAGGAGGAGTGTGGTGGCGTTCGGAAATCCGGTGTGTGTCTCTTCCCGTTTCGCTGTGATATCGGTCGGTCATCGAGAAGAAGGGGGAAGTGGGGATGTCGCTGCGGATAAAGGCGGTGGTCGATAAGTTCGTGAAGGAGCTGAAGGAGGCGTTGGATGCCGACATCCAGGACCGGATCATGAAGGAGAGAGAGATGCAGAGCTACATCGAGGAGCGGGAGCGCGAGGTCGCCGAGAGGGAGGCCGCTTGGAAAGCCGAGCTCTCCCGACGAGAAGTGAGATAACTGGTTTCTTTAATGAAAAGTTGCTTCTTTTTTCCCTTCTTTATACGGTAGAGGAATAGGAATTTGGTATTGGATTTGTCATCTGCATGTTGTTATGTCATGCTTGGCTAAGTATTAATTGGGACAGCTAACTATGGTAACTGCTCGATAGAAAGTGAATTTTCTTAATATACGAAATCCAAAGTGCTGCTAATGTGACACTTTGGTTTTGTTTTAGAATTTTGATTAGATGATAGAGTAATGAATGCTTGGTGGAATGCGAAAGCAATTCCAAGTAGATTAAGCATGACTCTTTGTAATGTGTAGATCAGCTTTTTAGTTATGTACATATTTGTTTACCCTACCAATAAGATGAGTAGAATCTTGAGTTATGACATTCTTTCTGTGGTATGATCTAGGCCAATAGTTGGCTTGGTTTTGTGTTTTAAATCACAAAGACTCATAATTTTGTTGTGCATAAGCATTTGTTTGCTTGTGCTTATGGTGGATTATATCATCTTAATTGTTGCACTAGTCCATTAAAAGTCTAACAGATAGATGTATTAACATTATGACTAAAGAACAACAATTTAATGATATGCTTGTGAAAGGGTCCTTATGACAACATGCTTTAAAAGTTTTTAACAACGACATAGCTTTCTTGTATTGTTGTCATATCAAATGGTTGGAGATTGGATATTGTTATTGCGTAACAGGATGCCACATTGCTTCTCGTTTGTTATCTCCATGTCCAAGTCTCTTCATTTTTTTTTGTTTGGGTATAAAGTGAACTATATGAACAGTAGTATTAATTATTATTTCAAGCATCAACTGACTTATAATTTGAGAAAGTAAAAGATAAGGCAAACTCGAGGTCCATAGAACCATATCAAATGATGAAATTGTGATTAATTTATATCTTTAAACAAAATTGTGTTACTAACATGTTTATGTAATATTCATTTATAAATACCTTTAGGATTTACATTCATCACATGATTATTACCCTGGTATAGATGGGGCTGGAGCGCTGACAGTTGATATCAAATCTATGAAATAGGTTGGGTTGCTAATTAACAATTTAGCATCACGTGATTCAGTTCTTCATGAAGAAAGCTTCTTTATCATATATCTAATTTTGCATGTTAGTGCTGCGCTGAGACTCCATGAAAGGCCTTACGGATTTGGACAACTTGGAAAATCTGTAGAACAACTTTTTTAGGTGATATTCTGAAATCGTCTATCTCAAGTGTGTGCTACTGCTTCAAATTGTATATTAATTTCTGTCCAATGTAGTGCGCTATCCTTGATCCCAGCTCTTTGCTTCCTCCTAGGGTCCGGAGTTTGATCAAGTTCAGTCTGGAACAGTTAACTTTTTTTAGCTGATCAATAGATCTCTGTTTATTTTTTTATTAAAAAAAATATAGTGTGCTATCCTGAGTACTCCTTTTTTGGGGGTAAGACCTTCATCAATCAAGGCCAGGGAGTGACAAACATAGTATTAGAACATTACCAGTTCAAGTTGCAGAAGCCACATTAGGATTCACTGTGCATCTGCTAAAGTTATTTGGACTGGTGTCTCAGCTGGTTTAACCTCCCAGGTGTTGAAGCATGTGTTTTAACTTTTTTGGTTAGAGAAAACTATAAATGATTGAAATTTGTTGTTCGAGGAGATATAGCTTCTTGTTTTTTTCAACAAGCTGTGGCATGGTTGATTTTGTTGGGTGAAGTCCTTCCATAGAATTGTGAGAATAGGAAAGTTGCGTGGTAAGTATGTGATTACAAGTGTTTCTGTGCCAGTTTTTATCCTTTGAAAACTTTCCCTTCCACAGTGAATCCATCCCAATATACCATTTTTGTAATCTCATTTTGCCATAAAAAGGACCATGAATTCATACTACACTTGCTTTTTGCAGGCAGAGATTGCACGTCAAGAGGCAAGGCTAAAGCTGGAAAGAGAAAATCTAGAAAAAGAGAAGAGCGTGCTCATGGGCACTGCATCAAATCAAGACAACCAAGATGGTGCTCTTGAGATCACTGTCAGTGGGGAGAAGTATCGGTGCCTTCGGTTTTCAAAGGCAAAAAAATGACATGATCATGAGACAGAAACTAAAGTTGAAAAAAGGATATTTCTAGGGTTGATTTTGTTGTTGGTAAATGCAATTATAGTATCTAAATCTTTTGGATATTCAGTTTAAAGGTGGAAAATAAAAGCAGTTGTCTCACTATTTGTTCTACACTTTTGTGGTCACAAAGGTTCTCTCCTGGAAGGTTGTGTATGTGCTGATGGAACAAGTTTTGCTGCTTACTAAGGATGAAGACCTAAATTTGGGGAAATAAGATTATTTTGGTAGATGTCTGTTAATCAGCTTTCATTCCCATACTTACCATTGCAGATGATATGACCTAGTTATAAGATCTAGTTAGAAATCTGCACTTACTATGATGTATCTCATTTGCCCTATTCTTGCCATGGTCACAGGGAGCATGTAACCATGGCCTCATTCTTGCCACTCTGTCAAATCAGTAGTTCATGTGATATAGTGGTAACCTAATCTTGTTGAGTGAGTGTGACCAGTTGCTAGTATTATGTGGATGTTTTGGTACTCATCATGGGGCTATCCTTGGAAGGTGAGAAGGCAAATACATAGTGCACAGAGAAGAAGGCCTCTCCATAAAGCAACAAAAGGAAAGTACAGGAAATGACAGGTTGAAATCTTTTGGGGGGACTAACTTGTGTGTATCCAAAGACAATTATGCTGGCCTCAGTGTGTTCTGTGCAAGAAGCAATATTGTAGATGTCACAGAGCCATTCACATTCTGTGTTGTTGAATCCACAGTTGGTATCATTTGAGCTCTGTCTCCCTCCTTTCATTGGATTACACTTGGATATACTTCTTTTTGTTGTATCAGACATGAACAAGAAGACATTTGATGAATGTTTAGTGTGATGAACAACTGATAACACTTGCAGCAATCCTTGTTCTTACCTACACATGATGAATGAAGGTGTTTTAGAACTTTGTTGGCTTCTACAGATGCAAGCAAAGCAAAAGGAGTAAGGGAAGGGGATAAGATCACAGAGAAAAGAAGTTATAATAGACCACAAGGCATGTTGGTGGATCCATGACAGTGGAGGGACCACCGCACGCTGCTTGCCTTCCCTCCCATGTTGCCCATCTTTAATGGCTTCTCTCTCTGTCACTTTCTTAGCAACAGAGAGAGAGAGATAGAGATTTGTACTGCTTTCCTTATGGCCCAGTAAGTGCTGTTTTCTCTTCTTAAATCTTTTTTATAGCAGTGCTGTGCGCAAGGAAACCGCCCCTCATCTGAAGCAAAATCCTGTAGAGGGAGAGGGACAGAGAGAGAGAGAGAGAGAGAGAGAGAGAGAGATTTGTAATAAAGATCGCAAATTTTTCTTGTTGTCTCTTGGTTCGATAAGCGCTGCCGTCCCTCTCTCTTTCTTTGCGTGTTCGTGATTGATATGTTTCTGTCCTCTTAAAGGCAGAGTACCGTGCGGGGGTCTTCTTGATTGATGGTATTCCATCGAAAGATGGGTGAGTTTGTAGATCGTTTGATGCACGAGATGGGATCTTGCTTGCTTCATGATTTGAGGCGCAAGATGAGTCTTTGAGGGTGGCTTCCAAGATACGGTTGCAAGTGTTGAGCTATCAGAGATTTCGTGGATTTTCTTCGTTACCGGGCCGTTGTGCTCAAATTGGCAACTTTATTGAGTTTAGGTGGAGAAGATGATCCGTTGGCTTCCTTTTTCTCCCTTCTTGTCCGAGAAATGTTCCAGAAATGTGAAGAATCTCGTGAGGTTTGGTTACAGATCTCTTTTCTGATGTGGATTTCTGCTTGTGAACCCGTGGGTGATATCCTTTTCTCCTATCTAAGCTCTCCAAAGGTTCCTCCTAATCTGGTTTTCTAAAGGTTTCCCGAGAAATGGGTCCTTCGTTGCATTCCGTCGACAGTGTTGTCGAAGAGATCATGAGACTCCACCGATCTCTTCCGGCAAGGCCAGGGATAGATGAGGTTGAAGCTGCGATGGCGTTGGTTCACAATGTGGACAAGGAGGAGCAGGGCCGCATCGATGCTATTCTGAACCAGAATAAGGCGTCCGAGGTCCCTGAAGAGCTCTTCTTTGTGCTGCAAGAAATGCAGAAGAACTTAGTGTACTATCAGAGCAAAGAACAGAAGAGGGAGGCTCTTAAGTTGCTTGATCTAGAGAACATCCATGTGTTGTTTGATGAGTTGATCCAGAGAGCATCCGGCTGTCTCCCTTCGAGCTCGAATGCATCATCTCTGTCGGTCCCTACACCTTCAGTTACAGATAGCAAGGTCAATTCTAAGACTCCGACAAGTTATTCAACTAGTGTTTCATCTGCGTTCTACTCAGAGAAAGAGGTTGGTAGGAGCACTGATTGGGTTTCTAAAGATGACAGTTTCCTGAAAAAGCCAAGGTCGCATGTAGATGGAATCAGTAGTAACACCCACCTGTCCAGAGGATTGGTCCCGAACTCAACAACTAGGCAAGAAGTTACTTCTGGTAAGTTATTATGGTTTGTATGCTTTTCTGCTCTTGTTACAAAGATTAGTGCAATATTGAAATGTTTAATACTTTTCTTTAGAAAATTTGGAATGGAGGAATGTAGATTCGAGTATAAGAATGTTCACAGAGCAGTATTTAGGTATGGCTTGTTGATGTTGTTGTAATGGCATTCAATGACTCGAACAGATTTCAATCATTTAGAAGAGAGATAGACAATTAATCGTGTATATCTCTCTTCTAACAAAACCTTGGTAAAAAATTGTTAAAACGGTTTATGTCAGCTCTAGCAAAAGCTTAATAACAGAACAGAAGTAGTCATGTATATGTCTATGGGTTGAAGAATTTACTGTTAGTTGTGTTTGTTACTTATTCTTGATGTATTGTGCAGGAGAAGAAAGTGGAAAACTGAACCTCATTAAACTAGCTAGCTTGATTGAGGTCTCTGCAAAGAAAGGCACTCGTGACCTCAACCTTCAGAATAAGCTGATGGATCAAATAGATTGGTTACCTGATTCAATTGGGAAGCTCTCTTCTCTTATTACTCTTGATCTTTCAGAAAACCGAATTGTTGTCTTGCCTACTACAATGGGTGCTCTTTCTTCATTAACAAAATTGGACCTTCATTCAAATAGGATTGCTCAGCTTCCTGATTCTATTGGAGATCTCCACCGTCTGCTGTTTCTAGATCTGAGGGGGAATCAATTAACATCATTGCCATCTACATTTTGTAAATTAGTTCATCTTGAGGAACTTGACTTGAGCTCAAACCAGATTTCCTCACTGCCAGATGCAATTGGGAGTCTTGTACGGTTGAAGAAACTGAATGTCGAAACAAATGATATTGAGGAGCTGCCACACAGTATTGGTAATTGTGTTGTGCTTGCTGAGCTTCGAGCAGATTATAATCGTTTGAAAGGCCTTCCAGAAGCCGTTGGAAGACTAGAATCTTTGGAGGTTCTCTCTGTTCGCTACAACAATATCAAAGGACTTCCAACTACAATGGCATCTTTATCAAAGTTGAAGGAGCTTGATGTTAGTTTTAATGAGCTTGAGTCAATTCCTGAGAGCTTGTGCCTTGCAACTTCTCTGATCAAGCTAAACATAGGAAATAATTTTGCCGATTTACAATCTCTCCCACGCTCGATTGGCAATCTTGAGTTGCTTGAGGAATTAGACATCAGCAACAACCAGATTAGGGTCCTTCCTGACTCTTTTGGGATGTTGTCACAGCTTCGTGTGCTTCGTGCAGAAGAGAACCCCTTGGAAATGCCTCCAAGACATATAACTGAAATGGGTGCACAAGTAAGTATTTTTCTGTCATTTTCAATGATTCTCCAATAATTTACACTTCACTGCTATTAACAATTTATTCTGGTTTTTTGAAGGCTGTTGTGCAGTACATGGCTGAATATATTGCAAAAAGGGATATTAAGGTACTACCTTTAAAGTCTAAGATGAGCTGGGCTCAGTTCTGCTTTTTTTCAAGGCCTAACAAAAGAAAGCATGATGGCTCTGACCTGTAAACTGATTATAGATTTCAGGTAACTGAAATTGCATGTTCTATTGGATGGATAATCAGTTACCTTATATTTTGTCATTAGTCATCTTTAGCTTTTATTGTAGATTATGAATCCAACAAATGATTCTCAGGTAGCATTTTATCCAATGTAGACACATAATTACGATGCACAGCTGCAAACAGTCTTATCCATCCAGACTCATGTAACAAAGGTCTCCAGGATGTGGTTTTACTATGATTTCTGGAAGTTGGTGTATCCTGATGATCCTCTGCTATCTAGGTCTGTTGTTTTACTTGTATTTCTCATCTCTTTGTATCTGTAAAAGGCATGACTAATACTTCTTGCAGGACATAGAGAAAAAAAATACTGAACAAATTCTTTATATCTTCTTGTAATTATCTCTTCAGATTGTAGTGCAGATTTATCTTTTTTTGAACTCAACTGACTAGTCAGTTCTTTCAATATCACTAAATTGTTTCCATTTACAGTATGTGTTTCTTCTTTTTTGGTTCTGTGCATCGACCACTGGGAAAACATGTGAGGAGTGTCATAAAAAGCAGGTGCCAAACTTGGTTAGTCATAAAAGATAAATAAGTCTTAAACCTAGCTATTATTGAACAAGTCTTCTCTACTAAGAGAGCAGAAAGTCGAGAATATTGCTTGATGATTGTGTGTTTGTAACTTATCCTACTTAGCCTTTACAGAATTCTTGGGATAGCTTAACACGTATTCTGTGACTGGGCAATACATGTATGAGCTAGTAGACAAATCTGGAGGAGTATGACCATATGGATGCTTGAGAAAAATAAGAAGAATTCATTTTTGATAACCAAGGTTTGAATGATTGTGGGACATACATAAAGTTGAGGCACCCTAACACTTTCTGTAACTCCCATTTGGATCAGGCATCGAGTTGTAAGTTCAATAATTAAGTTACTGGTGACAAGCATGCAAGTTAAATAATATATAACATATTGAATCTTATATCAGAGTGCTAGTCCAATGTATGCTGCAGATATGTCGCTAGTGGACTGCTAAGCAAGGTAAATCTCGATCCAGCATTCCATGTCAGTTGAATGATCAAAATGAGCATCATTGTAGGTACACATTTGTGTGATTTATTTATATGTGTGTGCATCATGTGGCTATATTGTTTGCATGTATAAACCTATTAATCAAGCTTTTTATAGTCAACTATTTTCTGCTCTTATCAGTTTAGTTTGGATATTAGCCAGATAGAGAAATGCACCTTAGTTTGTCATGGAGATACAACTGCATGCTTTCCTGTCATTATGATTCAAAATAAAAGCCAAAGCTGCTTCAGTTTGTCATGGCAACTTCTCTACTTGAACACTAGCATGTAAATTCTTAAACTTTTGTGAAACTAATGCCATCCAATCATTCCGACTCTATCATTGGTTTAAACCTTGCAGACTTTTCAGTATTAATATTGACCGTTAACTACTACATTTAGTGGTCTATTATGTGAAGTTTCCAAGGATGAAAGATAAGATATAATAGTTATTAGTTTTGACCATGATAGTTGACTGAACTAAGTAAAATCTATCCAGCTGTAGCACTAGCAAAATCATTCTAGATTCTTTTACCATTTCCATTCAGTGCCAATTCTGTTGATTTTTGTAGAAACTAGAGTCATAAAAGGTTGTTTTTGGATTTAGTTTCCTTCTGATTATGACTGATGTTGTGTTGAGATGCTAAACATGATTGTTACTCTTTTTGCCGTCAACTTAATGATTGGAAAATGTTTGTCCACAAAGATTCTATAATGTCCAGAATCCAGATTTAGTTGGCGTTCATCATGAATTGATATAGGCTTCTCGAATTTCTTGGGAGTTTCTGTATGAAAAAAATTGCCATTGCATTGCTAGTAATTAATGATATTTTTTGTTTCTATTCTTTCTTTTCTTCCGGATATAACATCTAGACACATTTGTGCGTATGTATTTGTGGTTCTTATTTGAGCACAATTAATCTGCTATTAGGTGCCAGTTATCGGCACCAAGCATTTGTTTGCAACTTTCTCCTCACATTTCACTTAGATCAGACAATGTTTCTCGACTCAGTGGTTTGTCTCAATCATTCTTTGTGTCAACTTATTGAAGAAATAGGGTTTAAGTCAGACTCTCTTGTCTGATCATTTAAGCAGTCTCTTCATAAAATTTTATGGCATTAAAAGAACACCGAAATGTGTCGTGGTTGATGGATGGTTAAGATCACACTTATTATGTTCTTATATCGGTCACAGGTTTAACGAGGACATGGTCACCTATTGAGGTGAGATTTCTTGCTCTCTTTTTCTTCCTCGTTCCATTATTACTCTTCTTAGGTGCCTGATATTAATGGTCCCTCCTGTTTTCCGAGCCAAGATTATTTTCTATCGATCCTTTCGGACTCTTTTGCGACGATTTTGTTCAGAGTTTGTGGACGCAATCACCATATATATTTAGTCTTGGATTTGCATAGTTGTGGCTTTCCCTGATTCATTTGTATGCTTTCATCCAAGTGTTTGTTGCTTGTATCTTCAAACTCATCCTACTCTTTATTTTCTTGCATATTTTAATCGAGCACGAAAAGCTTACTATGTAATATAGTATAAGTTTCATATCGGCCATGCGTTTGTATGTTTCGTAGTGCAAATATTACAATCATGTTTTTTGGTGGCATCTTGAATGCTCTTGGTTGGTTAGGAATGATAATTTCTTAAGGTATATAGATAATCTGATTTGGATCAGGATTAACCAAGTATTAGCAATGATAATTATTACCACAGACACCATCTGATCCGATGGCAAACGACGTCGATGGTGATGGACGATGACAATATTGGATGCTACGGATGACTATTGTGGATGAGAAGAGTAACAACGAGATGTGAGTGTCGCTCTGCACCTATGTCGACACTGATGTAGTCGTCGAGCGCAACTTAACATTTGCATCGATGATCATTTCATTGCTTGACAAATAAAGTCGATACCGACGTAGATGTAGAGCGACGAAAGAGTCGCTTGGCAACTGCATCGACACAGATACAAAGCGACTCTCATCTCTTGTCGTCAATCTTCTCATCCATAATAATCATCTGTGATCTCCAACGACATCATCATTTGTCAACACCAATTGAAACATTAAAATTATATTTTTATTATTTATTTTCATATTTTTATTGATAAAATCAATGACGTTAAAATAAATGAACTAAGATATTCCACTTATGTAATTATAGGATGTCAATATAATTTTTAACATATAATGATTGAAATATTAAAGATAACTAAATATAGAGGGTAATTTATAATTAATGTGAAGTATAAGAGTCACTAGTAAATTATACTAATCTAGAGTACGTGGATAACTTGATGATATGTATTACTTTACCGGATAGTTTTACACGTCAATTAAGTGATTATCATGTGATAACGTTGACTCATGGTCAACATTGCAATGAATATGCCATTCATCTCTCATTCTTCATCCTCATTTCATTCTCCATTTAGATGAATATTCCAATGAATTCTTCGTATTATTCTAATTAATTTATTTTTATTTTTTAAAAAAATTATTATCAAAATTAATTAACAAACTAAAATTTATAAACAATAACAATAATATTTATATATTTTACAATTCATAATAATATTAAAATATAATCATAATCAAATAAATACAAATAAATCTATGTTGAAATATTTTATTTTGTTTATTATTTTAAATATATTAAAAAAATAAAATTCAAGATTGATTTAATGATTAACGTTGGAATATTAAAGTTATATGTATCAAGTTCAATTCTCAAATATGTATTTTTTATTTATTTATATTATTATAAATAAATATTTTATATAATATAATATAAATGGGATGGCGACGGGGAGTGCTCTTCCTGTCCCCACTAACTAGAAATATCCGCGGGCATATAATTGACATTTCTTAGCTACAGTCTGAATTAACAGTAGTAGTAAAGTAAGAATTCAACCCATCCAAGAATACTCGTGAAAACAGGACAGTCAAAACCGGTCTCCTATAAAACCTACATAAAGGATGATCATCTCAACTATTTTATCCGTGTGTAATGTTGTCACTGTAATCTTTTATCTTCTTTATGCAGATGACATCTTTGATACGAATAAAATCTGTAATATATTATATAATATGAAAAAATTTAATTAAAATTAAATAATAATATATCAAATTTATGATGTACCTTTCGATATAATTTAGAAAGAACTTTATCAGATTTGTAAGAGAACTAGACTCTTACAAAACCGTTATCGATCTATACAAAGAACTAGACTCTTATTCTGTTCTCCTTTTCATCTTTTGACATTATCACTTAATTAATGGATTAGGGATAAAAAGGATATGAGAGAAATCGTAATCTCTTAAAGATCGTCATATCACACACCGTATAAGTACTTTGGTTTAATCTCTAAAAAATATTGTTTATATATAAGTGAGAGCAGTAGATTTAAAATAAATTATTAGGAGAGTTTCTCCCATCAAAATATCTTATAAGGAATTCTATTATAATATGAACTTCCATTCTATCGACTAATAATCTTCATCCGAATTTAATCAGTTCTATAATATATATTATTCAATTAGAAAAACTCACATAATGATTTAAGCTGGTTGTGTGTTCTTTCTGACACATCACGCAATCTATGTTTCTCAAACAACTATAGACCGGCAGTCATCTCCATACAATGGATCAAACTTCCATGACGCTGCTGCAAGGTCTCTTGATTTCATGTTTGGATGGGAAGCTGTCAACAGCACTACACATTGGCCTGCACAGGTTAATGGATCCATTGACTCGAGGAGACTTTCCATCAAGCATGAGAACCATCGTCAAGAATCGTTTGCCGGAGTTCACAAAGAACCAGTCGGAGATGTCGAAAGCATCATTCGATTTCACTGGGATCAATTACTCCACCACTCTCTACTCTTTCGACGACGCCAAACCAAACTTCCATGCCGTTCGAACAGGTATTTTTGGCTACAGATCTTTCCGCAATAAACTGCACGATAACACGAGGATTCCTGTGATTCTTTTAGCATCACTTGCTACAGGACTGAGAGAGAACTCCTGCTCTATGCACAGCAATCCGGTCATATACATCACTGAGAATGCTAAGCTGGATGGACTCTTCAAGCTTCGTCTTCCATTGGTGTCACGGAACGAGTGCTTGCCCTTCCAGCGGTCATGTAGGGGTCGATGAGTTCGACGACGAGAGGGTGTCACTTGAGGATGCACTGAAGGAAAGAATGCTTCCCAAAGATGGACTACAGAGATGGATTGAGGAGACACCCAAAGAGATCTGCTATTTGGTTTACCAAGTTCCTCAAAAGATAGAGAATTAATTCTCAAGAACAACCCTTCATTTTCTCATTACATCAGAGTGAAGAAATTGCTCAAGAACAACTACTCGATCAACTTAAGTTGATTGTTGTGTGACAAATCTTCTTGGTAATCATACACTGCTTGAATTGAGGAAACTCTATACCCAATTGGAAGAATATATCTGAGAGTGAGGAAAAAAAATTGAACTACATTTTGCTTGCTCAACCGAAACAAAATGCGACTCCGACGAACGGATTGGATTATATACAGAAGATGAATTACTAGGAACGAGTGAAAAGGAATGAGGAAAACCTGGGGATGCATGAAAAGGTTCTGAATCAGGATAGATAAATTGGAAACAAGAATGAATCAGGATAGATAAATTGGATGAGTTTGCAATCACACAGCAAGTTATCTAACCAGAGATGATATAGCAACTATATTTCATAGGCATCAAAATAACCAAATGAATTTCTTTGAAATCATAACAAAAATGCAGGTTAGTATTAAGAATAAAATGCATTCATAGCTGGTAAAGCAGGCATTTATATCTTTGTAACGTGAATTAATACGAGCTGTGATAACTTGATTCAAGTAAGTGATATCTAGAGTGGCCACCATTATTAGTGCATGCACTAGAGAGTGTAAGGTACCTTATAAAACAAAAAGAAAAGACGAACACATAATTTGACAATCTCATGGTTCCCATTGAATGAAAATTTGGAGAGCAAATCCTGGGTTTCATATCTGTAAACAGCATATCACATATGTAGATCATCGGTTATGCAAGTTCTTCCTCGTGCGTTGATCTTCCTTTCAGCATGAAGTGTTGAGCTGGTGTCCCAACATAATGCTGGGACATTTGGGCTCAAATTTCCCCAGGCAGCAAGTCCATCCATCTGCCCATTGAACGGGTGCCACAATCTGTAAAATAGAACAATAACTTCTTCAGATTTTTATCGCTAAATAGAGAAAGAAAAAAGAAGCCTATTTTTATCAATCCAGTGGAAACAGCTTTAAAAGGTTTTTGCATGTCATTCGTCTTGCTACCATGAATGCTGACAAGTGAGGCATAAGTAACATTTTCCAGCTAAGGCCAACAATTTCAGGTGTTATCTAGGCAAAGGCAGTCAAGATATTTCATATAAAGTGGTTTAACTAATAAAAGAATGTACTTTGTATAAAGACACTCAGAAAGATTGGTTGAATGTTTAGTGATAAATATATACATCATATCCATAATAGGTTAAAGTCAATGTTTCTGAACAGCTTTAACTATAACATAAACCAGGCACACCTAGCAAGACATCATATTGCCTGGTCATTGTAAGAAGATTTATAAATGAAACTTAAAAAGCATATTACTTACCAACAACAGCATAAAAAGCACCATGTCCAAAAAGCTACAATCTAGATCTTGAACCTTTTCGTCCAGGAATTTGTAGGGCTTCGTAATGACCAAAGCCATGATAAAGAACACAAATTGGATCGTCCTTCCCATATTCTTGGCCATACTCTGCTATTGCTATTAAACCACCAGCATCCTCATCGAGCATATAAACTGTGATTGGCATTCTACAAAATAAAGAGTGTCTTATAGAGAGTTGTAGATTGCTGAAATACATCTAAAATCTCCAGATTGATCAATAGCACATCCATCAATAAGACAAGACCAACACCACAATTTGTTGTTTTCAAGATGCCTGAGTCATGAAAGGAAATTATAATGATAACTTTGTGTAGAAGTTACCCGACAGCCAATCTAATTTCAGATCATGAATGAATGGAAGAAAAGGGTGTATGCCATTTGTAATCTTAGTTCAATCATATACACAAAGGAAGCAGAGCAAATAGCATAAAGGAAAAAAAAGAGAAAAAAAAGGAGGATAGCAAAATTTTAATAAGAGAGGATAAGGCATATACAATATTGATATGGAAACATTTTGGAAATTGTTATGTGAAATTTCATGGAATTCAGAAAGGTAGATAACACAAGTACTTACTCAAGAACATGTGACGCCATGAATAATTCAGGCTCACCTCCCCATACATGTGGCTTCCTAATTGTAGATACATAAGTATCAAAGTCACCCTCAACAAACCTGCAACATGATTAGCTTAAAAATAACTCATGCTTGACTGCCAAAATTTTTCTCTTACTAAATATCTTTCTACCACTTATAATTGTGTCAATTCGCACTGAGATAGATACATTTGAGAGAATTTTTTGGAATTCCCAATAGTTGAGATTGCTCTCCAAGTCAAATTATCAAGAGTGCAAGCTACCACCCAAACTGAATGATTTATGATTCTTATTTAGAAGCATCGGCTCACCATTCAGTCTCTGCTCGCCTCTTAACAAATTCATCAGCAACCTGGCCAGTTCATCGAATGAAACGAGAAGTTAAAAATATATTAGTTGGAACTGCTTGTGTGAGTAAGAAACAGCATCAACAAAAGTAGAATGTTAGCAATGTACTTCCAGAATAATGACAAATATACAACTGTAAGGTATACGCCCGGTGAACTTACCCTGGCCCTCAATTCATCTGCTAATTCTCTCTGAAGTTTCTCATCTGGCGGTAGCTTGCCAGACCTGAGACATGCCCCATGCATCACTGAACGGAATAAGCATCTTCCATCTCCTGGGATGCCTACAAGAATGACAAATTTGTTTAGGTAATTATCTGAGTGACCATGTCTGATATAATTATACTCAGGAACTTTACTAGTGCAGATATTTTATGAACTGCCTTAAAAAACAAAAAAGTCTTGTCTCACCAGTAATGGAATAATCAGTATAAATTTTTTTTCCATGAGAATATCCAGTGCTGTTTCCATCATTCTTGTTAGTTCTTCCCCTGGAAGGTTCAGCATATACTGGTCCTGAAGTCGTAAAGCACAAATAAAGCCCAAGCGAAGCGCCACCTGCTACCAATGGTAAGTTTCTAGTATTCCAAGAGACTCCCGAGAACTTCTCATGTGATGGCAAAGAAAGGCTCAAACTCATACTTCGACACCTTGTCGTTGATGCAAGACGAAATTTGCCCCCAGACAATCTCATTGAGGTGTCCATGTTTCGCTGAAGAATACTTCCTTTATGTTTGGAAAGAGTAAAAGAAGGAAATCTACATCTAGGTCTTCGAATATTAGTAGAGGAAGAACGAAAAGACTTGGATAATGACACAACTGTATGTCTTCGTTGGAACAGGCTGGAACGAGAGCATAGACTGCTGGAATTGGATCGGGTCAACCACAGAGGAGACATATAGCTAAACATCTATTTCCCAACACCTCCGTGCAAGATTGATGATTTCCAAAGTATATGAAATGTGAAACGCTAATATTATAAAGCTGTTGTTTTGGTTTGTGTGTGCTAATGAGAAACACACAAATGTCTCTACATATATATCATGGTTCAAAACTGCTTTATCTGGACATAGGCACCATTAAAATAATTCAATATTTGTGGCCTTGTCCATGCACAGCTGCATCTGCCTAATCACATCAAACAAAAATTGTTACTTTCTCAAGCAAAGATTACAGCTGCCCCCTACTTCTACTCTACGTAGGATACAAAGCAGCACAAACATATGCCTAGATTTATCTGCAAGACATTGTAATAAAATGATCTTCTAGGTGTTTGCATATGAGAAATCAAGCACCATTGTCCAACGACTAGCAAATAATGGAACATATCCAGAGGGAAAGTGGAACATATCTTCAGCTCTATTTGCAACCTTTGCAATAAATGAGTAAAAGCAAATATGGTAATTACTTAGGGTCAATAAAAAGTCACAGCCAAATCATATGTTGTTGGCAAAACCATATTAAGCTAAAGCTTCATAATTTTGTGAGGCAAAATCATGTTTTTGGCACTCTAAGAAGACTAACATCCTGCATACAAACTACTGGAAGTAGCAGCGATACTAGTATCCTAGCCAGCACAGGAAGGGCAACATATCTATGTGCAGAACAAGAAATTGATCATTTTCATGTAACCCCACCATAAAGAATCTTGTATCTGAATTATAGCATACAAATCTTTGGCATTAAGAACTGTAAATGAAATAACAATCACCGACAGCCCTCAAATTGTCTCACTCAAAGACTTCCATTAATCAATCTGTGGGAACAGGAAAGCCCATTTGCAATCCCACTTGAAAGTTCCTTCTTTTTTTTTCCAGGTAATTTTCTGCTTTTGCCGACATTAATGCATGATAAAGAACTATATTTTATCCTTCGCTGAAATCAACCAACAAGAATTGTGACTAGGATTTTTTCTTTTTCCCTTCTTTTTGAATCTAGTACTCAGAATCAATCAAAATCAACTTTTGTCCGAACGATCCATAAAGATGGACATGCCAGAAATGTGATTTTTTTTTGTTTTTGTCATCATATTGATATCAAACAAAAAGGTGGGAATATCATGTCACGAACTAAAAAATCCAGCAAAGAAACCGAGAAGTTGCGGCATTTATTTCCTAAAAATATCAGAGAAGGTTCTATAACAGAAAAAAGGAAGAAGAAAACCCGACTTTCCACGGTAGATCTCGGTCCGGAAGGCAAGGATAATATTTGTTGGAAAGAGAGGAGATGGGAAGAGTCGATGTTATATGAGCAGAAGAGAAAGAAGAGATGGCCCAAGACGGGAAGGATGAGTGCAGAGGCGAGGGATGCTCCCGTACCTGAAGCCGCCTCTTGCGGAGCAGGGAAGGAAGCGATGGACGTGCCCTCTCGAGAGACGGCTTCCTCGCGTGGCGATAGGGATCATCGAGGGTGGAGCCGCCACCAGGTGCGGTGGGTCCCGCACAGGTTCTCATCGCTCTGCCAAATCTGCCCCTCTCCAAAGAACCCATGAAAACTACGGCGACAGCAACCCTTGCCTCATCTCAAATCGGAATAGCTGATTCTTCTGCATTCTGGAAGTGCTGCTCCAAGCAGGGGGCGACGCCCAGAAGCCACATTCTACATCACATGATGATAACACAAGCAGGTTTGGCATGACAGATCAAAGGTCTAGAACAATCGCAGTCGGAGAAACTACTCATTTTTTGTTGTTCTTCTTGAAGTCAAACAAACACACAAGAACAAAGACCAAACCTTTGGTACCTACGCAAGGAAGCAAAGAGAATCTCCTTCGCTATGTTCGGTGTCAATGATCCATCCTAAAAGCATCATTCAAATGACTCATTAACTTCACGACCTTCAATCACTGATCCAAAATACTGTTTAGATCTTACAAATTCGATATAGGGCTAAATTGGGGCGTCATATTAATATCGCAATCAATTCAACGGAAGTAATAAATAATCCGCAGAAACATGAGGGAAACGATCCAAATTGGTTCTATTACTCGAATCGCCTCAGATCGCGACAAAACATCAAACCACGCATTGTAAGATTTCTCGAAACGAAGAAGAAGCAAACACGAATCGGATCAGAACACCCATCACATATTGCGGAATAACGAAACCTCAGGACAATAAATCGCACAAAAGAAAGTAAATATACCGTCAGTAAAGCCGCTTGTGGATCTCGATGGTGGACTCCCTCGTCTCGTCACCTCTTCTCTCGCTCTCCTCCCTGTTCAAATGAAAGACGAGATCCGGAATGACAGAAACACCAGCTCCGTTCATCTCAATTACGACACTACCATCACGTGATCTCACGTGGCTTCTAGCATTGATGAGCACACATAAATTTGTAGTTATGATTACTTGTAAGACGAAAAAAAGGCTCAGCAAACATTTCTTTTATTGCATTAAACTCGATCGCCAATCACATTCACGCGAACAATCCATTGCTCAGCTTTCAAGGAAGGACATGGGAGTAGAAGAAACAAAGAGATACAGCAATAGGAACGATGAGGCTTCCCCTTCGCTTCTTCCTATGAGGCTACTGCAAGTAGAAGGCGAAGAAGGAGAGGACGGAGGCCCCGATCACGGCGCCGACAGCGGGAGTGACGACGAAGGAAGCACTGGCGGGGCCGGGGCCGGGGGCGGGTGCATCGGCCGCCAAAGCAGCGGTGGCCGAGGCGGCGGCGACGAGGACGGCGCAGGCGAACTTCCCCATCTCCATTGCTGACACCGGCTGAGCTGCGGGGGAGATGAGGAAGACGGTGTTGCGGGTGGGGCTTGTGTCTCTCCTTTGCAGGCCTGAGGAAGGAAGGAGTGGGTGGAGGGGGTTTTATAGCATGCTTCGAGGGTTCGTGGCCTTCGGAATGGGTGGTGGCCATGTTTTGGTCCTGCGAAAGAGAAGGCTTACGTGCTTGCAAGTGCATGGTCAGCGGGGGAGTTCGTTGACCAGTAACCTAATTTTAGAATATAAATCGTGAGGTGAGCCACTCAAAGTGGATATCAACAATAACAGTTACCTAACAAGCTTTTTGATCTTAAAATCAAGAAATTGGCTGGAGTGACAAATAGAGTGATGCAAATCACAAAACCTTCATTGTTGAAGATGCGAAGAACATGAGAAGACATCATCATGCAGCAGAATACCCATAAATATCGACCAATTGTGAATGAAGTAACACCTGAAGACTGATGAGAAGCTTTGTTGTTCTCATCAATAATCACCAATAATCATTGCAAGAGCAAGTGCCATCCTTGAAATGATGGAAACGAATCCGGTCTCTGATGATAACTTCTTGTGAAGAGAACTTGGATACATGCTTTACAAAGGAATGGCATTCCCCACAGATCCTTAGGTTCTTCACGATTCTTATAGTGGAATGAGGTGCAAACCTTAACAAAGCGAATGCTAAAGCTAGCTTCTCACTGTGCCTCGACAACCAGGTCTCTTTATCTTCTTCGCTTAGATCAAGTAAGACATCTTGGGTCACTGGTGAATACCCTTGGTGTCTTAGATCACTCCCCATCTTGTCCAGCCAGGCATACATGGCACTGGCCTCAGGAAGAGAACAACTCCCTGCGACAAACTCATACACAGTCCCATCCAGTTCCACAGAGCTAGAACCTGGATCCTTCCTGATGCCAGTCTGCTTCAGTGAACTCCTCACTTCGGAGGCATCAGCCCATCTACCTGCAGCAGCAAATATATTAGAAAGTAAAACATGGCAACCAGATTGCTCGGCCTTCAACCGAAGAACATCTTTCTTTACTCTATCCGCGACTGCTACATCTTTATGAATCCTACAAGCACCAAGCAGAGCTCCCAATACCATGATATCCGGTTTCATCGGCATACTTCTTGCTATTCCTTCTGCCTCTTCCAACAATCCTGCTCGGCCCAGTAGATCAACCATGCATCCGTAATGCTTCATTTGAGGCTGAATCCCATGAACCTTTGTCATGCTCTCAAAATATTGTTGCCCCTCATGGACCAGTCCTCCATGAACGCATGCCATCAGTACACCAACAAATGTTATATCGTCGGGTTTCAGACCAGATTTCTGCATCTGTTCAAATGCTTCAAGAGACTCACTAGCTGCCCCATTAATTGCTAATCCTGTTATCAAAGCATTCCAGCTAGAGACATTCTTACGGTCCAAAGATTGGAACAACTTTAGAGCTATGTCAATGCTTCCACACTTAGCGTACATATCGATCAGAGCGGCTCCTAGATTCTGGTCATCATCCAGTGTCATATGGTTCTTGTCTATGTATGCGTGTACCCACTTTCCTTGTTCCAGAGCTGCAAGATGTGCACAAGCTGAGAGCACACTGACCATTGTAACCTCATTGGGTTTTATCATGCGGACCTTCTGCATCTCTTTAAAGAGCTGCAATGCCGCTAGAAACTGGTTGCTCTGTGCATACCCTGAAACCATGCAACTCCAAGAAACTACATCCCTTTCGGGCATCTGATCGAACAACTTCCTTGCAGCATCCATCTCCCCATTCAGTGCATACCCAGAAACCATCGAATTCCATGACACAATGTTCCTCATGGGCATCTCATCGAAGAATTTCCTAGCCACCGGCAACAGCCCGTGCCTTGCAAACCCCGACACCATCGAATTCCAAGTTACAGCATTCCTCTGCACCGGCATTCTGTCAAACAATGATCGTGCAACATCCAACTCGCCTTTCCCAGCATAACCATTGATGATTGCGCTCCACGACACCTCGTTTCTCACAGGCATCTCCTCGAAAAGCCGCCTCGCAACCTCCAATGCGCCAACTTTGACATATCCATCAATGACTGTGTTCCAAGATACGACATCCAACAGCTCGGAGCTCAAGTCGAAGAGCTTCCGAGCCGAAACCATGTCCCCGAAAGCCGAGTACATGGACAACAGCGTGTTCAGCACATATATGTAAGACTCGAACCCTCGTCTCAACACCTGGGGGTGGATTTGGATGCCACCGGTGGGGGAGCGAAGACTGCAGGCTGCCTTGACGAGGGAGGGGAAAGTGAAGTGATCCGGGGGGGACGCGGAGCGGAGGAGGGAGACAAAGGCGAATAGTGACTCGCAGGGGTGGCGGCGGCTGCGGGAGAAGGCACGGATGATGAGGTTGTAGAGGAAGGTGGTGCAGGAGGGGGCGAGATGGAAGTACAGGCGGGAGAGGGCGCGGGAGAGGAGAGGGGACGAGGGGTGGTCGGGGAAGAGCGCGATGAGGTCAGAGAGGCGGCGTAGTGTGGCTGGGTGGCGGACGTCTCCGGCGATGACGAGGCGGGCGAGAAAGGGGCGGAGATGGCGGAAGGCGAGCGGGGAGCGTAGGAGGGTCTCGAGACGGCGGGAAACGGGCGGGCTTGCGCGCATCGTCTCCCGACGAGTGTTGCGCGCGAACCCCTTCACAACGAATACATATATTATAATGCTTTAAGATTCGGAAAATTGTGATAAAGGGACATACACAAGCAATACTGTCGTAGAATTGACGAGTTAATACACGAATGTATACTGTATAAGATTCCTGGTGCCTGTGTGATCATGTCTCCACCACAGCAAGATTGAGACATCACAATTAGATCGATGGACCAACTCAAATAAAAAGGGACAGCAATTTTAGATATTCCAATAAATAAAAAAATTAGTCACGTCTATTATGAGCCTTATGGATGCAAGTTACCGACGGGATTTGCTGTATGGGTACAGGGTCCAGCTTCTGGCTTGAATGGGCCCACCACTGCGAGGTGAGTAGGGAAGGCTGGACCCTGTCTGGGCCTGACAGTAGTTCCCGTCTTCGACGGTCGGATCGAAATGCTCCACGTGTCATCACTCAGATGCACAGCTCCGTTGCCGACGCCCATTAGTTAACTAATAAGGAAGAAGTTTTTTCACATATGTCCTTTTAAAGGTAAACAATAGCAATTTGGCCCTTCAAAATTTAATATTGCGTATATATTCCTTCAAATATTTAAATGATTTCAGATGGTAGCCAATCCAATGCACTCCGACCAATGGATATTAACTATTAATATTAATATTAATATTTAAATGATTTCAGATAGGTCCCAATTTCACATTGTAAGTAACTCATTTATGCCCTATTAGGGATATGAGTTAAAATATATTTAAAGTGGCATACATATCTGTAAAGTTACAACGATTGTTTGCACATATATCCCTGTAAAATTTATATTCTCATTACGATGCTGTAAGAGGTATATGAGATGATAAGACACAAAGCAATGGAGAAAAGAGGAGAGGAAAGAGAAGGGAAGGGGAGGGGAGGGGAAGATAAGAACAAGCTTGCCGTTCTGTGTCTCTTCCAAGCGGGATTCTTCCTTAGTCTCATCTGTCCCCGTCTCTCTCTGTAGTAGTAGTAGTAGGGAGAAGCAATTACTGCGGGAATTATTGGGGTTCCCACTAGAAGAGTAGAAGAAAGAGGAATACGAGTCAGATCTTTGTCTCCTTCTCTTCTTTTGCTACTGTGGCTTTATCAGACTGACAGAGCTCAGAGGAGAAACCCATTGTTGATTGGTTCCGAAGCTCCTGTTCCTGCCTGGCTCTGATGTGGTTGGGGTCATCCCATTTGCGCCTCCATTTCCAGCTTTCCCTTTTACCTTCACGTTTCCTGTCTGGGTTACTGTTTCTCTTATCAAAGTGTGATTGTTGCCTCCCTCTTTTCTGATATCTCTTGTGGTGATTTGGGTTTGGTCTTCCTCTAGTGGGAATCTGCTCCATTTCTATCAAAAGATTGGAGCTTTTTTGCTGCTTTCAGCTTCATCTTGTATGGCTTTGGTCCTTTAGGGTTCCGTTGTGTCTAATTGATCTTTGCTTTGAAACATCTTCTGTGAATTTTTCGCAGATTAGTTGTATTTTTTGGAAAAAAATTGAACTTTTATTTGATCTCCGTCGTTTTTGCTTTCTGGGATTCCTGAGGAATCTTCAAAATCGGATTTTTATCTGAGGTGGAATCAAAAGGTGCGCATTGATCTATGCCTGGGCATTGAAATTATCTGCTGTCATTGGGTTTTAACTTCGATTGGACCTTGTTGTCTTCGCAGATCTGACAGGACTTGCATCTGAATCAGTAGAATAATTGGATCAATCATGGCTGGGATGAACGACAAGGACGCCATGATCGAAGACTGGACCCTTTCAAATCCCAGTCCAAGGACCTTAATGTCAACCTTCTTAAGCGAGGAGTTTGGTTCAAGATCCTCGTCAGGCTTCTTGGCAGGGAAGGAAAATGAGGGGCCTGCACTGGAGACGGAAAAGATGGATAAGGTTACAAAAGAGGAAGAGGGTGAGGCATCAAATGATTTCCTATCAGAATCAAATTGGTCTGGAGCTCACAAATTGAACTCGCATGGAGGTCTCGCTGAGAGGATATCTGCTAGTGGTTTTAACGTGCCCAAGCTCAATACTGCTCGGATTGGGCAAGAAAAGATGGCTTCATCTTCCTCAGATGTCCGATCTCCATATCTGACCATTCCACCTGGTCTGAGCCCTACATCATTGTTAGAGTCTCCGGTTTTTCTTTCTAATTCTATGGTATGAATTCTACTTGATGTAACAGTAGGCATTAATAAGCAAGGGATGAATTCTAAATCAGACCATGCTGGATATCCGCATATCGTAATGCCTGACTTTTCTTTTTCCTAATAATTTTCTTTAGGCTCAACCATCTCCCACCACTGGCAAGCTTCATTTTGCACAGAACAATATTGCAGGCCCAGCTTCGATGTCGGTCTCATCATCTCGTATTAAAAGTAATGACCTACTCGAAGATGCTCCTGAAGCATTCGCTTTCAAGCCCCTCCTGGAATTACACTCCTCATTTTATTCAAGTTCTGAGAGGATGGTAGGTCCGCTTTAGCTGCATTTTTTTTTCAGCAATCTCATGAAACTGCATTTGAAATTGAAAACATAGCAATGCAAGATCACAATTACTGACCGTTTACAAAAAAAAGGACTGAACATAACTAATGTAATACATGTAGTCATTATGTAGCCTACCTGTCCATGTTGGCTCAAGGACCTTGAATACCAATGATCAAGATTGATTCCAGTATTGAAAGCTTCACTTGTCTTGTCTTTTTGTGTGGATAAGGGTAAGGATTCGCAATCGACAATAAACGGTAGCCTTTTGTTTGCTTTTTAATGGCTAATTTCATTTTGTTAAACTTTGACATCGGAGATCATATATTTGAGAGTCTAGTGTAGTGGTCCACAAGTTTATGACTTCCAGAAGTTATTGGAGATACATGACATACTACAATGACCATACCTATGCTGGTAGGCAACTAGGGAATTGCATGAAAAGATTATGAAGAGCGACATTTTTGGAGAAATTAGGACAACATATCTGGAATGGGGTACTTCAAATCTTTGTTAAATTTCTAAAAAGGCAAGTAAGAGAAGTATTTCTACAGAAGGCCATCTTCAGACACCGTGATTACATGCTTAAATTTAATTATGCCAAGAAATGTCCATTCATGTGGTTGTCTAAACTGTTACATCTTAAAGGCTTTGCATTGTAATCTCTGGTTAAACATAAATTTTTAACTTCAGCTGGACACAAATGCCTATTGACATCCTCTTCAAAAAGATTGTTTTAGGATGTAAATTCATTGCTCCTTGCATGGCAAAAACTGCACACATATCTACTCAGATTCTGATGGTATGCTTCAAGTACAGAAAGTGTCATTCATCGTGTTGCTATTTGTTGTCTTTGGAATTTCATGCATTTTTTTCCCTTCTGTTCTGTTCTATAATGTCAATCATAGTCTTGCTTGAGACTTGTATGGCAGGTTACTATATGAAATGTCGATCTTGATACATATGAACATATTACCTAATAAAATTATTCAAGTTGATTCAGTGTTAGTGCTTGCAATTGTTTGAAAAATGTTCTACTTTGGAGATGACCCACTTTTTATTCACAGGACTATCATATCTGTACAAACCTTTGCATGATATTAATGCTAACTAAGAGTATACAGAGATTTTTTTCCCCACTTATCCATAGATCTTGACTGGTAATTATGTCAACATAGGTTGCTCCAGGCTTAAGTCAACCACAAACATTATCAAGTATAACTGTACCTGTTCAATTGGGGAAACCTAAAGAAACTGGAACTTTGGAAGCTGGCCCTATGCATTCCCAAAATCAACACGAATTCAACCTTCAGGCTGACAGTAAAGATGCTACTGATTCTATTATGTTCAAACATAGTATGCCTGATTCCTTCATGGGAAGCGACCATGCTCTGCCCCTTGATGATGAACAGGATGGAGACAGAGACCTTAAAGGAGAGCCTTCATCTGTGGCTGTTGGTGCTCCAGCAAAGGATGGTTACAATTGGAGGAAATACGGACAAAAACAAGTAAAGGGTAGTGAATACCCAAGAAGTTATTACAAATGCACTCACCCAAACTGCCAGGTAAAGAAAAAGGTGGAACGCTCTCTTGAAGGTCACATCACAGAGATTATCTATAAGGGTACCCACAATCATCCCATGCCTCCTCCAAATCGCCGATCTGGTGTATTGTTGTCCCACCCATTTAATGACCCAGAGATTGATGGTTCTGCTCAAACTGGATCACAAATGAATTCTGATAGCAAGACCATGTGGACAACTAGAAATATGGGGAACGAGGAGCAAGATTGGCAGGGTGATGGCCTGGAGACTACAACATCTGCCCATGTAGCTGCTGAATGTTGTGACCCTTCTGCTACTACAAAACAGACTCCAGATATAGCTCGTTTATCTTCTGATGCTATAGATGTTTCATCCACAATGTCCAATGAAGAAGATGAGGATGATAGGGCCACTCATGGCAGTGTATCACTTGGCTGTGATGGTGAGGGAGATGAGACCGAATCCAAAAGAATGTAAGTTTAGTTTATTTTCTAATTTACTTCTTGCTGCTAACTTGATTGGGTCAATTTTTCATGTGAGCTACAATTTGCAACATCCCTTTGTTAGGATACATCAATTTGGTTCTATTTCAGGAAGCTAGACACCACTGCTATTGAGATGAGTGCAGCTTCTAGAGCAGTTCGTGAACCAAGGGTTGTGGTTCAGACAACCAGTGAGGTTGACATTCTTGATGATGGGTATCGTTGGCGCAAATATGGACAGAAAGTGGTTAAAGGAAATCCAAATCCGAGGTGTGATTTTGCATTATATGTGCATGTTTTTATTGAATGGTTACACAAATTTGATAGTGGAAACTGCAAGAACTTTAAACTTTATCTTCACAAGATCTTATTTGCTATGCAGACCTATTCAATGAAAATTAACAAATTTCCTCTGAATGAAGTTTTTTTTTTTCTTGTTTTTGCAGAAGCTATTATAAGTGCACACATCCAGGATGTAATGTTCGGAAACATGTGGAAAGGGCAGCACATGATCTGAAGTCAGTGATCACAACATATGAGGGTAAACACAACCATGATGTCCCTGCTGCAAGAAATAGCAATCACCCAGGCTCCATTCCCTCTGGTACCATATCCAATACAGCGGCACCTCATGAACCTCATGGTCTACTCCCAAGAGTGGAATCTGCCCAAGGCGGTTTAGTAAGGCTTGAAGGCCATGCACCTTTTAGTACATTTGGCCTCCCTGGAATACAGCAGCTAAGACCAGCAACCAGCTTCTCTTTTGCGATGAGCCAACCAGGTTTTACGAACCTTGCTATGGCTTTGCCGGGTCCTCTAGCGCCAATGAACGTGTCAGTTCTTCCTTCGGTTCACTCATATCTGGGCCACCATGTGCCTGTTGAAGGATTGATGATTCCTAAAGGAGAGCCCAAGGAGGAACCGATGCCAGAGTCGGAGTCAAGGCTACCCATGCCGAATGCAGGTCCAATGTACCATCAGATGATGATGAACGGCGTACCGCTAAGACCTCAGTTGTAAATATTACTACAGACTAAAAAAAAAAGATGTTCTGCATACCTGAGAAGAAAATTTTGCTTTTAATCTTTTTTCTTTGCAGTTGAGATTCCGAACAGCTTCTGCTTTCATCCTCAGCAGAAATATCAAAATGTCTTATGTGACAAGTTTGTGTATTGTGCCAAAGAATGTGACTGATGAATTGGATTTGTCAAAGTGGTTTGGTGTGTGTAGTTCTTATACAATTCATTTAATTACATAATTGTAAGGCATATGTTGTATCTAAATAGAGTCCATATCAATTTTAAACTACTTCATGCTGTCTATTTCAATTTATCTGCTTAGTGCCAGTGCAAACTGAAATGCACTCTCAGAGATTTGCAGTAGTGAAGAGGAATATATATATATATATATATATATATATATATATATATAATCTCTCTGAAATAATTGCTTCTTATACTGGTCCTTTTAAAATCTTAATGGAGCATGTATGTCCTTATAAAATCCAAAAACATCATTTTGATTAATCTTCATCAGTTAACTGTCTTTTGATCATAATTGAAATTCTAAATGACATTAATGCCCCCCCTCTCCAAAAACTTAATGTGATAAAAAAAATAAGGAAAATATTTCTTCCATAACTCAAAAAATGCATTTAAAGCCCATTTTTCGTTGTGATGTAAGTTTTCACCATCTTGAGCATGACTCACATTCTTCTCCACAAATAACAAACTTATATGATCATTACTCCAAGCTCGCAACATGGACAAATTAGCCTGTCTGACACACATTGTCATCGCTTATTTCACTGTTACTTCCAGTATTTTGCTGCTGCTTCTTCTCTTATCTTAACTAATGTTCTCCTCTCACACTCCATTAGAAGCTTGATCTCATCTTCCTCCACTACATGAGAAACTAAGTTTGGGAACTAAAGGATTACTGTTAGAATGACTTTTTATATTCCTTAATTCATGAATCTATATATACTAGATTGAGGAGGATTTGATTGTCCTTCGATCATGCCCATGAATCAAGATGATTGCCCTTGAATCATGGGATATTGATACGATGGAGATACAAAAGGTACGTGAATTGATATCACAATCTATCAAATTTTGATGATTGATTTATGATCGATGCTTAATCATGCCCTAATAATCATAAGTGGCTTTGTGAGAGTCTACTAATTGGTCAGAAGTATAGACGTGAGATACATATAATTGATGTTTAATAACTTGATCTCTAATGAAGTATAAGTCGATAGTAATATATTTGATGTGAGAATCAAATAAAAAATAAAACATAGATATTGTTATAATAGATTGCTGGTAAAGCAAAAGGTGACACCGAGTTCGTGAAGCAAATTAATGATTCAATTGAGTTCTACAGCAATGATGATAATAATGTGATACTCAACTTCTATGAAGAATGTACAATTATTTTTTATTTCTTGGAGCTCCAACTTATAGGGTTTGTATTGAGGAATATAATATATATTGATGCGGATGTATTAATATTAGTGTTTCTTGCTCAATCAACATCAGTATTGAGGAATATAATATACTATCCAAGTATTTATTGATACAACGTAGAATCCAATGAAGGATTGCCATCATCTATCTTAAGTGACTCACCGTAAGAAAATGGGTGACAACTTAGTTATCATTTTAATGTTCATCTTCGATGAAAAATCTTGAATATATTTTTTTAGAGAAAGAAAAAGACTAGTGGATGTAAATACACTCTCTACATCTAGAAAATATATCAATGACCCTAAATCTTTAGTAGAGAATCAATTTGTCAGTTGTTTAAGGAGGTGGTTGATCTTAATAGAGTTGTTGTCTATGATAATAAGGTCATCCACATAGACTAGTAAATATATGATATATTCTTTTATTATCGTATGAACAAGGAGTTATCAAATTTAGAATTAACAAAATTGATTGACATTAGGTATGAGCCAAGTTTATTATATCATGCTCTTGGAGCTTGGTTTGCTATATATATATATCTTTTCAAAGTTTATATATATGTTTAGAATATTGAGAATAAACAAAAATAGGAGATTGTTACCTAAAGACATCATCATTAGTCAAAGTCCAATCAAAATCCAATGTAAAAAAGTATTGTTAACATCTAGTTATCATAACTATTAGCTTTGAGTGATAGCCAAGCTCACGATAAGTCAAATTATTACAAGTATTAAGATATAATTGAAGGTTTTTGTAAAGTTAATGCTTAATCTTTCGTAAAACTCTTTAGTTACTAAATATGTTTTATATTTAGCAATAGATTCATCCGGTTCCACTAAATTTGAAAAATCCACTTATACTAAATGATATTTTCTATAGAATTTAATGATATAAAGGGTCTATATAATATTGTAGAGTAAAACATATATTCCTCACACATGATTTTATGTCAATAAGATGTTTTTTAGCTTAAGTGATGCTTGTGGGTTATACAGGTATGAAAGAATAGCTTATGATAATATGGAGATCAAGAATTTGGTCTAGTTTGAAGATATTATGTTTGAAATGAGTTGTCATACCCACATGCTTAAATCCTTTAAAAAAACGAGTTAGGAAAGAACTTAATAAAAATATTATTTTATTTATAAAATTGAGACATAAAAATAATTTTTTTAATTTAAAGTACATATAGAATATCAAGTTTAAAAGTGATCGTATATAAATTAAGTATCATGGAACCAATACGAGTGATAGGTATATCATTACCATCAACAATGATGATGTCTTCGTTATCATAATAAATAGATAAATTCTACAAGCTGAAAGTGATATGATACGAAGCTCCAGAGTCGATAATTCAATTGCCTTGAGTAATCGAACTAATTGTTTGAGGCCAATTTTGTATTGTAGCAGACTTCAATCTAGATTGGCATACTTTTATTATATGTTTCACTTTGTTATAAAGTTGACAAATGGATCTTCATTTATTGTTGATTTCATTAGGATGCTAGAACTTTTGGTAATTATACATTTGTTGGGGTTGAAGTTGGAGTTACCATCATAATTAAAAAATTGATAATAGTATGATGGATGTTGGCTCTGTTGATTACTCATGTGTTTAAGAGTTCTTGTTTGATCTTTTGTTAAATTTCTTATTGTTTAGATTGCCTTTTCCTTTGAAATTTTGGTTGAAGTGAGTCGTGATTGTTGGTCCTGTAGATTGAGAAGATGAGAGCTAAGAATGGTGGAGATCAAATTTGGAAAGGACCTCTTCGTTCCCAAGTATAATCTCGATCGTGAGTATTGATAGCATGGTCAAGAGAATGTTGGAGGCTAGTAAACTATCGTCGAGAGACCGACCATAGATCCAAAGTACCAGTGAGTTCAATGGGTCATGAGGACGTCGATCAAGCTATTGGGAAGTAAGCGCCAGCTTAGGAGCGAGGGAATGCTCGCCAAGCATGGTTGAATAGAGGAGGGTCACTAGCGGTTTGCTTATCTATCCGTCGAGTAGAGCTAAGCAAAGGTGGAGGATCAGTATAATTGCATAGCATGTCAAATTTGCAAGGTAAATCATATCACAAAGGCGAGATCACGTAGAGGAATTACGTGTCTTCGTCTCCGGTGCAAGCGCAAGCAACGAAGCAGATCGACAATGGATCATTCATCGAAAGCGTCGACTATGTTATGAGCAGGATGCACCGGTTGGGAGGAGGCACCGGCGAGGAGACGGTGTAGTTACAACAACACTGTCATTGCTGCAACGACAGTAGCAACAGGTGAAGATGAGCAAAAGATAGCACAGGCAAAGTGTCGTTGGGTAAATAAAGAGGGAGGAATTGTTGATGCTGTGACAGAGCAACAAGGAAGAGGGAGTTGCTATCTCTGGGGTATCAAAAAAGTGGAAGAATAATTGCTGGAGGAATCATTGTCGCCCAGCAATGTGGTGTGATCAAACTCGATGGCGGCTCTCACCATCACCAAGACGAGTTCGGATTAGCGAAAGAATCTGCACGGCCAAGTTGTGCAAAAGCTCATGGGATAATTATGTGCAGAAAGCAAATCTATGAGTCAGTCAGTCAATCCTGGGTGCTGCAGGTCTCTTCAGAAAACAAAGAAAAGGAGATCCTGGGAACTGAGAGAGCTGCACGGCCTACAGATTCAGCAACTGCACTTGCCATGGCCTCATAGCCACATGCAGTCCCCAGTGACAGCCAGTGAGCCACTCCCTGGATAGGAAAGAGAACATGGACCCTTCCACTGGATTCTTCTTGGCCAAGACAGAGCCATGCGCTAAATGCCACAACCTACACATCAGACCAAAAGGCAGCAGCCAAGCCCCACACTGTCAACGTTCATCTTTCTGTCGCTATTGAGAAGAACTCGAGAAGAAGCTGTGTGCAGGGAAGGAGATGGTCGGGTTTGACTGCTTTCCAGCTTTTGCTATTCTTACTTACTGAATGCTGTCTTGTTGTGGGATTTGGAGAGTAGAAACGATAGTTTGATTAGTTGAACCACTAGTGAGTGCTACCTTCATGTTTTAGATACAGAAGCTATCCATTTTACTAAGCTTCATAGTCTTTTGATACATCAAAAGCAAAGTTTGATCTTCACAGCCTTTAGAGGAAGAGAGATGAATTTTGGAGGAAGAAAGATGATCATAGGTTGGGACCAACATCCTTTAATGTGTGTGGTTGAGTTCAAAAGAAGAGCAAAGAAGTCATAGGAGATAATAAAGTTGAGAAGAACACAAGTCATGACACTGATGAATGGGAAAACTTCTGCCTGTTAATTCTCTCTTCTGAAACTTTTTAGAGATAAACCGAATCTTCAAGAGGAAAGTTTGAAGGAAAAGGAAAAAAGTAAAAGATGAGTGGAATCTGCTAAAGATTGATGCTTGTAGAAAGAAGGAATGAATGAGCAGCAACTGTTGGGTGAGACCAAAAGCACAAAAATCTTATTGCATCGATCAATCATTGAAGGTTGCAAATTATAACTCTCTCTCTCTCTCTCTCTCTCTTGAGACGGATTATTGGATTAAGAAAAATATTTTTTTATCTAATACTTAAAATATCATTAAATCGGTCTATAGAGTAAATCGGTTTGGTTATAGTATTTTCAATGATACAAAAAAAAAATACTAGTAAAAAAATACTATAACAAATTTTTTTTGTATAATTTGTATAAAAACACTATGGTTATAATGTTTTTATGTTATAATATTTTAATAATATTTAAAATATTATAATGCAGTACAAAAGACATTATAACTCATCCTATGGAATCAGTTTATGGAGAAAAAATAGAAAATTGGGATATTTTAGGTATTTTATAGGTAAAAAAAAGATATGCTATTAGAAAATTTTGAATATGAAATTACTTTATGGAAAAAACATAAAAATAGATTTTTTTTTTCAAAAATTCATCTAAAATAATTATTGTTGGAAACAGTTGCTGATTTGATATGCATTTGTCCGTCATGTCTAAGTAATGGTGATAACTTGTCGGATCAACACACTCTATTTAGTCAAATCTTAAATTAGATTCTTGGCGCGGGTTGGTGTACTGTATGTTGTTAGGGCAACGCATTAGATTTGTGCCTATCCAATTGTCACCATAAATCCGATATCCAAAACATCTTTACAGGACCATAAATATTAAAATTCATGCCAGCATATATGTGCATAAGACATGCCAATTAATGCGTAGAAACTTCCAAAGATCATATCTGGTCCACATCATAAATAATATATATATATATATATAAAACAATGGTTGGTATTTCAACATCAATGAACGATATAATTAAGTCATTAAAGCTTGCACATGACACTCTTTGTAACCATCTTTGGCAAGCCAATCTCCCTCGGCCTCGCGTCTGCGCCGCCAGAGCTGTCACAGCCTCAACTGCGCTTAGCAATGGCAGTCGAAGAGTCCCTCGAAATAGCTGCTGCTGCTTCCTGCGACGACGACGACGGCCACCAGAGAAGAACCGGTAACCTGAACCTTCCATTTCCTTTTTACCTGCTTCCGTAATCGAAATCCTTGTTTTCTGACCTCGATCCGACTATGCCGAGACGACTGGATCAGGGACGATATGGACCTGCGTCGCGCACATCATAACGGCCGTCATCGGCTCCGGCGTGCTCTCCCTCGCGTGGAGCACTGCCCAGCTGGGTTGGATCGCCGGCCCTGTGTCCATGCTCTGCTTCGCCATCGTCACCTTCGTCTCCGCCTTCCTCCTCTCGGACTGCTACAGGTCGCCCCACCCTGTCACAGGAACCAGAAACTACTCTTACATGGATGCTGTCAGAGTCACTCTAGGTAGTCTCCCATAGCCAAACTCCTTCCGTGGAACCCAGTGTTCGACGATTTGCTCGTGGTGCAGGTGAGAAGCAGACATGGATTTGTGGGTTCCTGCAGTACTTTAGCATGTATGGAACTGGGATAGCGTACACTATCACTACTTCGATCAGCATGAGGTGCATCCACAGACACTGCTACAGTATGATGAACTTGCAGTGTTGCGGTAGTCTCAATCTGTTATGCTTTGATGTGTGTGTGTGTGTGTCTGCAGGGCGATTCAGAGGTCAGACTGTTACCATAGAGAGGGACGCAGAGCTCCGTGCTCGTATGGAGATAGCTTCTACATGCTGATGTTTGGGGTTGTTCAGATAGTGTTCTCCCAGATTCCAGATTTCCATGACATGGCATGGCTCTCTGTTCTTGCAGCTATCATGTCCTTTGCCTACTCCTCCATTGGATTTGCTCTTGGCGTTGCAAAAGTGATTGGTATCGTGTGCTTCCATCTCACTAGCTGATCATTTCATGAGTGATCTGTTTTGCTCTGAGAACAAATTCTAGATCATAGAATCAAACATTTGCATTGTGATTAGACATAGCCAAACTAAAATCAGATATTTATTTACTTTTTTTGTGTGCAAAAAACAGATGGACAAGACGGATTTTGACTCAATGACGATATTTCTAGGATGATGTTTCAAAATGTAATCTAGAAGATATATCACTAACAAATTAATATAATGTAAAAATTTTAGGATGAGGTTACAAACCCAAACTTCAGGTAAGTCAATCAGATACACCATCATTATACTAATATTTTTCAGGCGGAAAAAAATCACTAAAACCAAACAAAGACTATCTAATTTGTTATCAAACACTTGGGAAAGGAACCAAGATTGATTTCTATTCATAACATGAATGAACTCTGATGTCATGCATTAAGAAAAAAGAGCTCCATTGTTCATGTCATTTATCTGAGTAATTACAGGCCACTATGCATTTCACCAGTCCTAATTAGCAGAAAAAACAAAACATAGTTTTTATCACATCTCACAAGCAAAAGATTCAGCGCATGGTGATTCATCCTCATGCATGCTAATCCTTCTCTACTGATAACTGTGATTTCTGTATGATGTGGTCTACAGGAAATGGAACAATAAAGGGGGGAGTTGGAGGCATCGGCATGACATCCAGGGCACAGAAAGTCTGGCGAGTTTCTGAAGCACTGGGAGACATAGCATTTGCCTACCCATACTCCTTGATTCTCTTAGAAATAGAGGTGACAACACATCTCTAACTTGATCATGCGGTTCTTGTTTGCTGAGTCATTGTGCCATTGTATCAAACACTTTTGAACTTGAGAGAACTGAAGCCAATTCATCATGTTCAAAGGACACACTGAGGTCACCACCACCAGAGAACCAGACGATGAAGAAAGCTTCAATGATCTCCATCTTCATCACCACCTTCTTCTACCTCTGCTGCGGGTGCTTCGGCTATGCTGCCTTCGGAGATGGCACGCCGGGAAACCTCTTGACGGGGTTCGGCTTCTACGAACCATACTGGCTTATCGATTTCGCCAACGCTTGTATTGTCCTCCATCTAGTGGGAGGCTATCAGGTGAATCCTTCTACTTGCCTCTCTATGCTTGCAATAATGATAACATCTGACAGTGAAGTTTCTGGATTTGATTTGTTAGGTCTACAGCCAGCCAGTGTTTTCCTTTGCAGACAGATGGGTTGCAGGGAAGTTTCCTAACAGCAGATTTGTCAACGAGTTCTACATGATCCAGTTGCCATTCTTACCACCATACAGATTGAATCTATTCAGGCTGTGCTTTAGAACAGCTTATGTCGCAACTACCACAGGGCTTGCCATGGTCTTTCCCTACTTCAACCAGGTCCTGGGAGTGTTGGGATCCCTCAACTTCTGGCCCCTGGCCATCTACTTCCCCGTGGAGATGTACTTTGCACAGAAGAAGATAGGACGTTGGACAAAGAAATGGATGGTTCTAAGGGTCTTCAGTGCTGGATGCTTGCTCGTGAGCTTGCTTGCTTTGATTGGATCAGTTGAAGGGCTTGTGAGTGAGAAGCTGGGATGAGTTCATTGTCCCTCCAAGTGAAAGATAGGATTGATGATATAAATGATGCCTTGCAAGTGAAATCTATATTTTTCTCATCAACTGGCTCTCTTTTTCTTTCTTTGCACTTCTCCTACCTAAGAAGAGATGGATAACTTTCAAACTAGGTTTTCTCAGATTAAGTTCATGGAATGACACATAACTTTTTTTTAGTCTGATGCAAACATGAACAGTGAGGTGTACTTCAAAATGGATTTTTTTCTCAGATAACTTGAGATTCATTGCTGCAATAAGTGCAATAGGATGGCTCTTATGGGGTAGACGGAGGGAGAGAAGAGATGATTGCAATAGGATGGTCTTATTTCATTAGAACACAACGATGTTGGTAAAATCCTTATACTTTACACACTCCTAATAGTAACTAAAACTAAAAAAAACCTTTTTGGAATCTAAGATCAACTTCTTTAATCTAATTGTTCTCAAGCAATTCTCTTCCAAGTAGCAAAGACTACTGCAATGCCATCTAATGTGTAACTAAAGTGTTCAAAGAAGACAAAATTTGAATGCATACCTGTGGTAGACGATTGGTCTTACTAAGAACTTGTTTTCTTCAACAACTGTTTCATGTTCTAACCAATCTCCCTGCACGCACATCCTAATAGATATGGAGACGCATACCTCGGTTTTCTTCCTCTCATCCTACTAGGGTTAGGACTCGGAAAACAGGGAGAGGCGGCAGCGTGGGGTTAGGAGACGGCACCTGGGACAGGGCTGGGGTTGGGGATCTTGGAGAGAGTCTGCGGCTCATAATGGAAGGAGTTGCTGTGGATCCCGGTGGGTAAAGCTATCACTGGAGGCGACAGCTAGGGTTTGGAGGAGGCCGGGCGTTGGTCCATCTTGCGCTTGGACGGGGAGGATAGTGTTAACGGAGTAGAGGGGGGCAAAATTGGCATTTGACGCAAGAAATTACATAGAGAGCAATATTTTCAATCTCTACCCACTGAATTACCTCTTTGATAATTGGAAGACGAGTGGGCCCCAACTAAGCTACGAAACGCTACTAAACCCACTGTGTATGAACTCGCCCTATCCCCGCTTCGGTTTTCCAAATCCGAAATGACGACGGCGAGACAATCTGAAGCCTTTCTCCGTTGCTTTGCCGCTCGCCTCGCCGCCCGATCCATAGCGACCTCCGCCGCCCGCCTCCAGAGCGTCGGGTGGTTCGACAAGATCAAGGGCGTCTTCACCGGGAAACCCTCCTCCGACTCCAAGCCTTTCTCCCTCACCGGTTAGGAACAAAGGCAACGTTTTTGTTCCTGATCCCTCTTCTTTCCCGTGTTAGATTGTGTTGGTTGATTTTATTTCTGTAGATTTCGCTGATAAATTGGACAAGGCGAGGAGACTGCGCTCGTTCAAGAAGTTCGACGTGGGTCGCTGTAGCGCGGCCACCGTTTCTGACGGTTTTAAGAAGCACTCTGCCATCCTGCAGTACCTTGCGGCCATCGACCCTTTCGGAGAGGTTTGATTTGGTCGCTTATGGTGGTGTCTTTCGTTTTCCTTTTTTCGTGCACCAGTTTCCGAATGAAGAATAATTCTGTGGATATTCCTTTCCTTGTTCTATGATGATTTTGAGTCACGGAAGTTGAGGACTTGTGGATTTTGAAGTAAGAAAAGCTCTGCAGGTTCCAGTAAGATAGATAGTGGTCATACTTGAAGGCATTAGCTCAAAGTTTAATGTAGTGTTTTGTGGTGAGTGAGGTTGAACAATTTTATGCACAACAGTCTAGATTTTTTTCTTAGTGTAATATGTTTGTCAAATTGATTATCTTCCAATCTGATAGAAACATTTCAGAGATGAATAGTTTCAGTACTATACCAAAATGTGGTGCATGAAGGTTTTTGGTTTTTGTGTTCTTAGGAAATAATTATTACAACTTTTTTTAATGTTCGAAATGTCATATTTTTATCTACCTTGAAGAGCTCTGGTGTGCTGAAGTTTTGTGCTATCGATTAGTGATTGGATGATGCTGGCCAAATTATTGTCATTATAATTCTTTGGTGAATTACTTTTGTTCAAGTTCTGGAGTAGGCTGCTTTATAACATACATGAGGTTGGCATGGTTAGGATTCTACAAAGAGCAACCTAACCTGGCATTTTAAGCAATTTCAGGATGCACTGACATCTACCCCATTGTGACAGGACTATGAGTTCAAAGCTTGACCAAAACATTTAAAAAATTTGATTACAGGCTAAGATAGTGAGTTTGAAACCTATAACAAAATGGTTTCCTATATAAAGGGAAACCTTGTGGAGTGAATCACATTATTACAAGGTTTTTGTGGCACAGTTGGCCGTTTCCACATGTATGGCCACAACATATTACAAATGCATCTACCTTGATGATTCATCACTAACATGGCATGCTTTGTAGGTGATAGTTACAGAATAAACTAGCTAGCACCTTAATTTATGATAAAATATGGGTGATCATCTGAGTTTTAGTTCATGTGTATCCTTATCCTTTGCTTCTTGCTTTTCCACGTTGAGAATTTTGTTTCGATATTTTCATGCACATTCGTTATACCTAATATGTACTTATAAATTCTTGTTGCCATCCAATTACTTCAAAGTCAATAATATGATGACAAGCAGTGCCCTTTTTTGTGGAAATTTGAGTTCAATTTATCAGTTTGGCATATGCAGCTTGATCTGATGCCTAAAAATTTTGCATGGCCTTACTTTTCATATGATGTTTGTTTTCTCCTGTAGAACCTCCAAAACAGCCACAAACAGGATGCAGCAAAGCACTGTAACTGTACAATAGCTGATGTTGAACATATATTAGCAAAGTTCCAATGGGCCATAGAAGCACAAAAGAAGTTGGATAAGTTAAAAGAAGAAGGGAAACCCATGCCAAAGACCTTTGGTGAGGTACATACCTTTGTACTGATTGGAATTTTATAAGAAGAGTTCCGTTAACCGACAGCTATCAGAATGATTTTGCATACAAAGAAGCAAAGACTTACTTTGCATGTATATGTTGTCCACTATGAGCCTAAGGTGCATCATGATATGATAATCAAAGATAGTTGCTGTCATATTTTGCGAAGTGAAGTTCATGCCCCTAATGTCTTTCTTTTTAAAGCAATAGCCAATATTTTGGTGAGATTTTGTGTTATTTTGTGAATTTTATTTCGTCATGAGACATATGTGAGTCACAATTGTGCGGGAAATAACTTAGATGCACGATCATATGCTTTTGATGTTCTGTGCCTTGTGTTGAGTTGACCTTGTAGGCTAGCACTCTTTAGACCAACTCAGGGTCCCCCATGTTTGCACAGTGCAAGCACCTGCTACTTTTATCAAGAAAAGGAAAAGACAAAAGATACTGTAAACTAAATCGCCTGCATTAAGTATTGTCACAGATAACATTGGCCTTGTGATTTCAATTCGGTGTCACTTGTGATTCTATCTTGATATCAAGTCTTGTTTCCACTTTTACTACATGAATTTAACTCACATTGCCATAACAGCATATGCAAAATCTGTTTACCCACCATGCTCAATCGTTGGTTCGGAATGAAAACTTCGATCTCCAGTTATCTAGATATGTCCAAACAAGATAAAGGCTAGTAGCATTTCTCTATTTTTATGTTAATTGCTATTATTATACTTATTTTATGTGTGACTACTATGGAGGTTTTTTGGTTTTATGACTTCGGTGAAAATATGAGCTAAATGTGCTAAGCTATAGTCATTGAAGATCTGATAGGAAATGTGTTTTAAAGAACTTTTTATTGAAATTTTTAGATCAGCATACATGGAATGATCATTCTAGGGACTTTCCTTAGTATATATTTTTATTGTTTCAAATGAAGTGGCATGATCTGTAAAATCTTAATCCATTGTTTTTATAGGTTCAAAAGCTAATGAGATCAACACCGTTGGATCTCGGGAGGTCTAATTTGGCGAAGAGTGGGCAAATAAGTAGGAATGCTCTCTGCCCATGCGGATCTGGGAAAAGATACAAAAGGTCTGACTTTAGTATCTTCATTACTTTGTCCCAATACCTTAAACGCTTGACTGCATCCTGCACTATTTTCAATTTATTTGCTAAAACTGTAGCTTTAGGATCCAGATTAAGGTTAGTCAATATGATCATTTTTAATAACTACGAAATAGTTCAGAACAACCCTACAGTGGTAATTTGCAGGAAATATGCTGACGTTCCAGGCTTACTGCATGGAATTTAGCAGATAAAATATCATTTCATAAAAGAGAAATTCATTCTTATATATTTCCACCTCTTCTTTACTGCCCTACTCTTTTACGAGCATGATCTACATATGATAAGTTGTTATATCACAAACAACATGACCACAGTTTCCTTTTCATGCAATTATTTTATCTACATTAAGATTTCCACAAAAATTCATGTAGATGATCATAATCAATCCTGTCAACTGGAGGGAATCTCCCATGTTTCTTGAGTTAGTAGGAGTTAACTGCTCACTTCTTACTGAAGAATCAGCACTGATTGGCATGAGCACCTCACATACACAACATGAACAACTGTCGAGAGGAAAGAGTGAGACTCTGAAATAGGTTAATCTTTTTCATGATAGTGATATCTCTCTAAACTATCTCTTTCTTGTACATGAACATGAAGGTGCTGCGCAACAACCTAAAGTGGAAGCTTGGATATGGAGTTCCTTCCAATTTTATGTAGAACATAAACAGGTAAACCCTTTCTAAATCATAAAAACGTCAGTCTTGTGTTCTTTCTTTTCCATTTGGAATTCCAGGTTGTATAACTTGAAGTGATTGAAATCAGAAAGTTCTCTTCAAATCAAGTGAACGAAATTATCCTTTGTGCAGATTTTCAGAGCTGAACTTGTGTGAGTATGAGATCAAGGACTAAATCCTCAAGCAGCTTCAACTTCGAACTATTTCATCGGCCTATAAGCTCATGTAAGAAGTTTGTTCCTCTCGTTCATGTAGCAAGTAAGGATATTAAACTTTATGTGGACATAGCGATCCATCCTTATGATAGCGACAAACAAGCAATTAGGTTCCGAAATTGACAGAATGTTATGGCATTATCAAAGCTCTCTTTCTTTAACCTCAGGGTTCAAGATCTTGCTATGGAGTGTAACTGCATGCATTTAAATTACATAAACTGTTATACTGGAAGTAAATAAAAAAAAAAAACATTCCCATTAAAATTAATTTTAATTCTGGCTTTTATATGTTATGCTTGTCATGATAATCTATTTTGTCTCGATATCATTATAGGTCGTAGATATTGACAGAACCTATAAAAGATCCGAATCTATTCTTTGGTTGCCAAATGGATGATGGTTGACAATAATAGAGACTGGGGAAGTCATGCTTGGTGGATCCCATGACATGCAAGCAGAGTTGGATCACGCTTTCCCATCACCTCAGTCACGATCATGCCATCACATAAACGAGCAAAACCATGGAGGCCACGTCGCGTCACGACGTGGTGTGGCTCACCGTCCGTGTCCGTGGTCTCCGCCACGTCAATTCCATCGCACTTGGTGGCCGACGTGGCGAACCGCGGTCCTTCCGAAACCCAAACCCATGGCTTACCCGTGATTAGGTTTAAGTGGTGGATTAAGAGACGGAATTAGATATCCGCTGACGTCACCTGCCACCTGTCTTCCTCAACTCCCAACCACCCTTCTACCGTAGTTAAGCAAAAGCATGCAAATTATTATTTGCCTCATCAAAAAAATTAATTTCCAAAGGAAAAATAGTAATAATTTCCATTTCCTTGTATAAGAGGGCCCAAATAAAACTTCCATTATATTTATATATTATTAAGAGGAACGTTAATGAGTGGATTAATCGACTACGGGAGGTAGAGGGAGGGGTCGGCGTCCAACCAGTGGCTCTGATTCCAGTACGCCACAGGATCGACGGCGCTGGTGAGATCGAAGAGTGCAGAGTCCGCCGGTTCTGGCCAATCCAGCGCCGGGAGATCGCCGCCGCCCGGCCCGGGATCCAAGGGTACCGTCTGATCTATGAGCCCTGGCCTGATCACCTCCGCCGCCGCCGCCGCCGCTGCTGCCTCCTCTTGTGGGTGCGACTGGTCCGGGAAGTTGAACGCTAGGATCGAGGCCGCATCCGTGAAGCTTACGGCCGCTGGATCTTGGAAGACGTCTGGCGCCGGGCACGGTGGGGGATCCACTGGTAGTGGTTCGAAGGGAGGGTTATTGTTGGAGATGGGCATGTGGGAGGTGAGTAGGGTCGAGGTAGTGGCGGTGGTGACGGCCCTGAGGCTGGGGCTGTCGCTGCTGCATCGGGAGGCGGAGGAGGGGCGGCGGCGGCGGCGGTGGTGGTGGTCTTCATCGGTCGCATCGGAGGACGGCCTGGACGAGGGTTTAGAGGAGGAGGAGGAGGAGGAAGGGGGGCGCTTGGACTTGCGGCAGCCGCCGCCGATGGGGACGTTGCGGAGAACGCCGCCCATGGTCCAGTAACGGCGGCACGACTTGCAGAAGTGGCGGGGCTGCGAGTGGTTGTAGTTGTTGTAGTAGCAGAACTTGGTGTTAGCGGAGTTGCAACGCGGGCACTTCACCGCCTGCTGCTGCTGCTGCTGCCGCGCCACCTCCGCCGGGTAGCCCACGACGCGGCGGTGCTCAACCCCGCCACCGAAGATGCCGCCGGTCACCGGCTGGAAGTCCTGCATTTCCCGGAGATATTCTAGAAGATTCCCGAATCTTCTTCCGTGGGCAGGCGGGTGATGCCACCCGTGGATCTCCGCCGGGAGAGGAAAGAGAGGAAGGAGCTCTTCACTCCTCCCTGTGATCTCATCTTATACCATCACAGGCTCTCTCTCTCTCTCTCTCTCCTTTTTTTATCCGAATTTACCATCATACCCCCACGGCGATACCGAAATAAATTAATATTTTTCCTATATAAAAACATATTATATTGATTTTAAGACTCAGAAAAGCCCACTGACACCAAATGAGTCCGACCCAAAGACCGCATGCATACTTATATCTGCACAGTATACAGTACACACACTACACACTACCGAACAAATAGTACAAGAGTTCGTCTCATTATTCCTTTCACGGGTTACTGCTACTGCTTGCTTTGCCACCACTAGACGACGTCGGGGGGGGGGGGGGGGGTGGGAAGAAGAGGAAGAGACGTACGGCGGTGGCAGGGCGCATGCGGTCCGTCCGATCGCCGTCGTCGTTCTTCATTTTGTCGGCCATGTCTCTCTCTCTCTCTCTCTCTCTCTCTCTCTGCTGTGCCCCTTCCGCTGCTTCTTCTCTGAGTGCCTCGCTTGCCTCGGCTTTGTGGTGGCCCCCTTGGAGAATGATTGCGCGTCAGTGGGTAGATGGCTCCTTCTCGTACGGCGACCCACAGCAAGACAGGGCTGAAGGCAGAGGAGGACAGTGAATGTCCCACCACATCCACCACCACCGGAGTGGGCCGCTCACCTTCCTCCGTGCATGAATCATACCAAGCTTACTAAATTGATGTCTGGGATGACTGAATCAGTCCCATTGAATTCAAGCAATAATTTTTATAATAAATTTAATCAATAAATATTTTATAGAATACATGAAATATTTCTTTCAATTATCTATTTTGGATTGATGTCATGTTATTGATGAGGACTCAGAATTGTTAGTGATAATGCTAAATTAGAAGTAATATTATTATTTTTTATATAGTTTTAAGCTTTTGTATTGTTGATTACCCAACTAAAAATATTTATCAATCTCAATTTCTAGACTATCTAAAAATGATTGAAACAAGTGATAGACTCATCACCTTTAATTTCTATTCATCACTATTTTCCTAATTTCTGTTCATTAATCTCTTCCACAACCTCACTTATCATAAATCCATAAGCCTTACATAGTAATATTAAGATTTCTAATTCTTCTAAGACCCTTAAAATCAAATAGTTTCAAATATGAGATTTTATAGAATGCATCCATAAAATTTGACTATATTAGAAATCTGAACTCCAATAAATTGGTTGGCCAAAATACAAAAGTCAACAACACATGAAATAATTATGGAAGGAAAAAATAAATAAAAAATGATCCAGGCCGGAATTAATTGATAACTAGGTTGGGGATCACAACATGATCCATCCATCTAACTCTATTATCTTTGTCACAAAAATCATGTCATTGTCACATTCATTTCTTTAGTGGAGACTAATTACATGTTACTATCTGTACTTGGATCCTTATAGTTCTGAAAATAAAATAAATAATCTTATTTTTTTAATATCATCAGCTTCAATGATGAAAAATATAACAAATGATACAACATGTTGAATCGACGTGATAGTGATAGACAAAAAGATAATTTTAACGTTCTTTTCATTTTCAACGATTTTACTGGTAAAATGATAGTTTCAACATTCCACGTACTGAAAACGAACGGAATGTTAAAATTATCTTTTTATTCATTACTTTCACGTCGATCCAATACATGATGTCACGTGTTATGTTTTTCATCGTCACAATCGTTGTCATAAGGATAAATAAAATTATTTATTTTATTTTTAAAATTATAAAGATCCTAATATAAATTTTTTAAGTATATGAATTATGATTTTATTAGGATCCAAATATAAATAATAATATGTAATTAGCTCGGAAAAGAAGTTGTTTTCATTGTATGGTTTAGCAATTTGTGTGTCGTTGGGGGTACTGTAAACCCCGAGAAATCTGATGAGACAAGCCATTGTCAATTGATACATCAGATCAAGTACATAGATAGAGAGAGAGAGAGGGAGAGAGAGGGGGGGACAACGGGTTGCACTGTTGAAGAGGTATGGGGAGTTGTCATGCCGCATGGGGCAGCACATGGGACGGTGGAGAACTCGAGAGGTGGAAGGAAGGCTGTCGAAGAGAGAGCCGTCTTTGAAAAGGGTAGGCAGTGGCGATGAACACAATCGGCAGTGTGTGCCTTCTGCATGTCCATTTCACAGAGGTCCTCCATTTCCACCACCACCACCACCACCTGTCATGGTGGTGATCCCAGAGTAGCTCATGCCATTGTCCTCCCTCCGGTTGTTGCTGAGCTGCAGGCTTTGGTGGATGTCTCCTTCACCCTTACATCCTCACCTCTCCCACTCCATGTTTCATGCTGTAGTATGTTGAGCATGAGAAATCATAGGAGGACATCAAGGAGGCTTAACTTCTTATATTAGACAGCCAAAAACCAATTTGATCGAGTAGGTTGTCTCTTTGGCAGAAGGGTGAAATGATTCCTTTGGGGGATCATTCCTAGATCTACTCATAATTTTCTCATGTTTGTGAGCAGAATGGAGATATTGATGTGTATGAGATGAGAAAGATGAATTAAAAATAGTCTTGTATTTCTGAAGATTAAAATATTGAGTTTGATTTACAACCTAATAAGCTTAGCTTTTTAACATATAACATCTTTTAACATATTTAAAAATATAGTATTGTACTAAACTTTAGTAATAGTTTTCTATCTCATAAATCATACGGGTACGTTCATCGTCCAAAACGAATAATTACTTATCAGTCCATCGGATGATAAAATATGATTTATCATAATAATACCAGAAAGAAGGGTTCTGACATTTAGTTTCATATTGATTGAGGAGTAGGAGAACCAAAGTTCATAAGTTTGTCGGATTACCTTTACCCTCAAAAGTATATTTTAGAATTCATTAGATTCAAAAAGGGTAAAATCATATGAGTACACGATAACCAAAAGCGGATAATTTCTCGTGCGCCTATTGCATCTGTGACTTATTAAGTACTCATGTTCATTATTATTTAATTGATAACACAACCAACAAAAGCTCCTCCATCAACAGTTCATGTGCCATGCAACACACTTCCAGATCTGCTTGTGAATCATGTACTCATGTTTCAGATCTGATATTTGTGAATCATGTGCAGCCACACCACTCAGCTCTGATGAGAGTGACACAAGAAAGTGATACACAACAATCCCTTTCTTCTGCAAGCAGAACACATGTACAAATGGCTGCAACTGCCCTCTGGGTCATATCCCATGCCTTCATTTCAGAGGTACAGTGGGAGCACTGACTCAAGTTGGGATTGCAGTCACCATTAGGATGACACTAAGTCCAGTGATAGGGTCCAGAATCATCCAGGATGTCAGCCAAATGCATCATCCAAAACAATGCTTTTGCATGTGATTGTTCCTTGAGGATCAATTCACAGCCATGGGGTTCTCATGTCTCCCTGTCAGTCCATGAATCATGACAGCAATGAGTTGTTCCTTTCACCTTCTATTGGGGATAAAACCTGATGTTGATATAGCAGCAGTGGAGGGACCATGGAAACAACTCAATGAGTTACTAAATTAAGCTTTGATCAGTAAAATTTAGGCTCAATGTTTCTGTCTCTCTTGTTGTTCATCCTATCAGCTGGGGAGGCTTTTTACACATTGTATGTTTGTGAATGATCATGTACCATTTCCTGTTCTAGAAAAAGGATTATATATATATATACATATACATATATATATACATATACATATATATATACATATACATATATATATACATATACATATATATATATATATACATATATATATGGATTTTTTCCAATACAAAATCCTTTTCCAGTATGACTGAAACCAAAATAATTGTGACCTATGCATGCTGTTCCACTGCTATCTGTTTTCCTTTTTCATTTCCCCTCTTCTTTTCTTAACTGTACATATGTGTGTCCTATTCCAAATTTGACACCTTGAGCCTGATCTGATCAATCTGGGCAGTAGATGAGTTTTTCTCATTTTGGAAGCTTATGAAACAATGAACAGCTTCAAGCACACATGAAATGACTAGCTTTCTTTCATTTGGTAACACACCTCACAATCAGAAACATAATTCTAGTCTGCAAGTTTTAATGGATTAGCATACTGCTGGCACTGGTAACTGTGGAAACATCTCAATATCTCCAATGTTCATCTCCTGAGCAAGAAATTGCAGCTGAAACATTCCTCCTTAAACTTATGTCTGAATGATTCTTCATAAAGACAGAGTGTGATCTAAATATAATTCTGAACTATAATTATACTGCTGTTGGTGTAGATATTGAAGTTTTTGAGTAGGTTATGCATTTTAAGGACTGGGCCAAGAGTGGCTCAGCTGATGATTATTCAAGCCCAGTCTGATCTCCAAATTATTCAAGCATTCAAATAGGAGTAAAATGATGTAGAACAGTGTAGCTTCATGGATGGGTTTTGCGGGAACTTGTGTAAGATGTGATAAGCCTATAAGAGATTACAATGTGCAAAATTAGTGACAGCAGCACAAAAATAAGTTTACTAGCAGCCTCTGAGTTGACTAAAATGGATTGCAATTTTCTTGTTGACTTGTTTTTTTATAATGTCAGTAGCCCTTATTTTTAGAGATTGACTTATAGTTCCCTCAATCATGAGAAAAAGTCAACATTTCACTCATGGATCCCCAATTAATTAAGTGCTTCAGTGGAATGGGTGATTTAATAGGTCATAAATCATGAGTCTCATGACCTGCAAACCACAATGAACAATTTTGCCTGTGACAGCAGAAGTGCAATTTATAAGGAATTCTCACCCTAATAAATCTTGAAACCATCATTTGCAGTGAACTATGAACATTCTGATCACTTCACAGGAAACAAATTAAGAGTTGAATGCAGGCTCAAACTATCAGATGGAGTGACAGTGATAAAAAGATTTCAAGCATTCAAAGTGATGTTTCAGTGAGATTATGGTTTCAGCAGATCCACCAAAGAAAAGAAATCAGTCTGATCACTTCACAGGAGAAAAGAAA